ATATATATGTAGGTGTACAGGCACCGGATCGATGCTAGGAGCGTCGGGTTAACTCCCATTTTGTCCAAGCTAGCCATTGTGCCTCACTTCGAGGTTCCCGAGTGCGTCAAAGCCAAGGCTGTTTCGGGGTGTTTTAGATTTTCCCTTTTTGCCTCTGTTCTGCATTAAATGTTAAGACTTGCACTGTACTGTTATGGTAGGGATTTGGTCCATAACCTGAATGTCTGTATATGTTGTATGTATATACTGTTTGGGTATTGAATGTAAATATGTGCCGAAAAGTCTTTTTGCATACAGACTGTCACAGCTCATTGGACATCTCTTATTACTGTTTTGGCTTTCGCCAGCCCCTGTACTCTGTATTACTGTCTTTACTGTTAAGCAGGCCTTCGGTAATCACAGATTACTGGCCAGTTACGGTGCTAAATCCATAGGGGCGGGTTTGGGTCGTAACAGTAAGTGAAACCACAATTGAGTAGTTAGTGAAGTGTAATGAAATAGTAAGTGGAAACTCATTGAGTAGTAAGTGGGGTTTGATTAAATAGTAAGAAGAGCATGATTGAGTAGTAAGTAAAGTTTGTAGTAAGCCAATTTGTAGCAAGGTTACACATTTTACAATTGATGTTATGAAATTTTGTGATAAAATTACACATTTTGTAATAGGGTACATATTTCCTAAACAAAATACTTTCTAATTTTACTTACCATTCATTGTAACACTACTTATCACTTAATATTTTATCATTTTTACTTTTTTGTATATTTACCATTCATTCCAAATCTACTTATAACTTGTTTTCAACCTGCTTATCACTCATTCTCCTTATAAGTTGTTTTGATCTTAATTACCATTCAATAATAAATGGAATATGATTGAATAGTAATTATAGTTTCATTGAATACTTCTCATTTATAAATACAATATTTACTATTCATTTTGATTCTACTTACCATTGATCACGATTCTACTTATCACTTACTGTATATATATATATATACATTGTATATTTACGATAAGAAGAACAACGACAGGAACATTTGTGGTACGTATTTGTCACTCAATATGATTATTTAGTATGAAAAAATTACGATAATGCTAATATTAGTGTTTAGTTTTATCTAATTAATTTTCTTATACTCTTATAGATGTGTTGTGGGGTGTTAAGAGGCAATACTTCCTAACAAGTATGTAGAGTAACCTATCTACATATCTATTTTTGGCATCCATAAATTTTTTTTTTGAATGACAAGTAAAATCATATTTAGTGGACAAATGGTTGATTTGGTTCAATAAAACAAAAATGAATGACAAGTAAAATCATATACCAAAAAAGTATGTGCCAGAAACTCTCATGAATTTGGTCCAGTTGATTTGGTTTTATTGTCTTATTACGTTTCCAAATGTGGGTACGTATGCTTCATTTAAGAGATTTTAATCTTATAGGTTTATAAAAATATTTATAGGACTAAATGATCTTAAGTCATGGATATAGGATTTATTAGTATACCCCTTGATTTAATTATAACGGCTAGACAATTAACTTAAATTGTTTGATTTGATTAAAATAATAAAATAATTATTTTGAACTTAATTTGATTAAATTGAAGTTAATTTGAAGAAGGTGCTACATAATTGAAAGGGCAATGGTTGATTTTTTCAATTAATTAGATGCACATTACGAGATCAGTAATTCAAATCAATGGGTTAGTTTGATTGGCTAAAACTTCTATATCTCAATATGTGGTCAATAGTTTGAATCTCCCCACTTGCTTATAGGTTTTATTCTTCGTGTATTAATTCAGCTTTATATTTGATTTTAATTATTATGATTGTAATTCATTAAGGTTTATTATAATATCTTATATGAATCAAATCTATAAAATAAAATTAAAAAAAAAACTAATTAATTAATTACCACCGTTTTTTCCCCCAAAAAACGTAGGAGTATTGCATAAATTAACTTGTCCTTTTTTAAATAAAAAGTAGAAGAATTATAATTACCACGTGTAGTTACATAGTTTTCAATTAATTTCGTTTGGTTTTTTACAAGTTGTAACTGGTTATAAAGGTCTTGAATGGATGGCCCAGATTGAAAGAGTACATCTAATGGCTACTAATTAATTTCTTGTATTGTACCTCAAAACCAGATTTGCATAGTCGTTTCCTGGGGCTTATTGGTGTGTTCTCGCTGGGTCTCAGTTTTAACTCCCACTAAGTGCTATCAATTTCTTAAGGTCACGCAGCGTGCTTTGCCCGAGATTTACTTGATCCATGTAAAGGGACACTTTGCATGGGTCTTAGATTAGTCGAGGTGTGCGTAAACTAACTTGGACAAGCTGTTATCAAAAAATGTAATTGCCAACTTAGATAGATAAAATTCATGGACATAATTGGTTTGCATAGTACAAAAAGCAGGAAATTAATTAATCTACATGATAGTTAAATTCTCTAATGTGATGGATTAAAACAGCATGGTAGGTGAGTTTCCTTCAAAGCAATGGAACCACCTTATCCAATTATATAGAAGGGCCATGAAGTTCACCCACTAAAAATGCAGACGGTGCCAACTTTGTTTTGCATACTTGTTATCTCCATTTCATTCTTGTGTCATTTCATTTGAAAAATGACATTCATTGATTGCAATGTGGCCCACTGTGGTCCACAAGCCGAGCTGAGCCAGGCCAATTATTTGAAGTGCCTTCCAATCAAGATCTTGGTTAAAGTGGCTGCTGTCTCTCTCATTTCTCAAAGCCAACTTTATTTGACTGATAGCTTTGCAGCCTTGTTTTTAAAGAGGGTAAAACTTCAGTCGCAAAATCAATTATATGTCCCAAGATCCAAATTTGGCTTACCCTTTCGTTTTTATTTTTATTTTTTGGCTTACCATTTGAAAATTGCAATGTTCTGACTTCTATTTCATTGCCAACGAAAGTTAGGAATAAGAAATTTTTGGATGTAATGACTGAAGAGTTGTAAAATTTCAGCTGATTTTGGAAAGGCAATCTGCACTCAGTACTAGTGTGAACACACATTTTATCGTAATTAGTTATTTCAGACCTCCTATACTAACTAATTCCAACCAAAAAACAAAAAGTGAAACCGTGTGCATAATTAATAATGGACATATTAATTTTCTTATTTTTATAATTTTTATATATACTATGTTTTGGATCTTCAATTTGTGAAGGAAAAGAAAAATGAAAGAGGAAATGTAAGTATTTATACATATTCAATTTTAGGGGTAACTAAACAAAATATGTTTTTATTTTTTATTTTTACATCACCTATGGTATATTTTTGGCAATAAGATCAAATAATTCAGAAATTAGTATCTAAATTTGTTTAAACTGAAGATGGGTCAAGGACAAATATCAAAAGGCAGACCATGAACACTGTAAAAAGGGATGAGATAGTCATTTGACAAGCAAGAATGGAAAGTGCATGGAATGGAATGCATGGACCATAAAGCTTCATCAACAATTGACTTTCCTCCTTTCATAGCTGAGCAGCTGTTTGATAATTGTTTCTTTCATTTTGCTGTTTGAGGGAACCAAAAATGGTGTGGTGGGGGGCAGTTCTATCACCAGCCCTTCAGGTGCTGTTTGACAAGTTAGCTTCTGGGGACATCTTGAACCTCCTAAAGGGATGGAATATTGATGATGTAAGGACCCACATTTACGTCTTAGTCATGTTCATGAGCATCTGTATGATTATGACTTGTTAAGCTTGCATTTGTATGTTTGTGACTTTGTTTTGCTTAAGTATGTAAGGTCCATGCCTTGTTTTGATGCCTTTGTGAAGTGTCTAAGTGTTGCTCGCATGATTTGCTCCTTCCTTGATGTGAAGCCTAGGTCACGCCTTTATCGCCATCAAACGGGCCGAATCGTTCTAAGCTTCGAAAGGGTTCGGATCCACGAACTTAGAGACTTACTCAGACTCGGACTCGAAAGGGTTCGGATCCATGAATCTAGAGATCCAAAGCACTTGGCTTCGAACGGATTCAGATGCAATCTAGAAGCTGCTCCATTAATGAGTCCCAGAACACTTGCGGACTCGGAGCTTTCCGGGATCTACGGACCAGAACCATGGGCGTAATGGAGTCCGAACAAAGGACCCGATCCCGAGGACGGTGAGTGGAGATAAATTCACTCTTCGGTTAAACTAGCCTATACCCGAGTCGAGGTGGCACGATCTAGGGGGTCCCGGAGACTCGGCAATATTTGCGACATGACGTCCTCTGGGACTACCCTTGACCCTTTGGGATGATTGGGGATCATTAGTTAGGTGTGGCTAAGAAGAAGGGTTCGCCGAGAGGTTGATCTCCTCTTCGGGGTTTTCCTCATCCTCGGAGAGGTCACCTCCTCAGACAAGGTGGTTAGAGAGAATATTTCCCATGTGCTTTGCACATGGGCTCCATCCAACATCATGAGGTGCCTATAAATAGCACCCACCCATAACTTTACAGGGGGATGGATTTTGGAGATTTTTAACTCCTGGGAAAGAACTAATTTCCCTTCTCCATTATCAACCTTGAGAGTGAAAGTGGGAGATCCATGGGAGAGCCTTGTCATTATTTTCTTTCTAGCTACTTTGCCTTCTTCTTTACCCAATCTCTAATCTCCATCATCTGATTTACTCTTGTGTTCCTAAGTTGAGACTATTGAAGAATCTAAGCCTTTCATAATCTTCTAGAGAATTCGAAGTTGTTCTTCAAGGATCTTCGAAGATCTTTGAGTTTTCCAACAACTTTTGTGAACCCTCTCATACAATTGGTATCTAAATTTGTTTAAACTGAAGATGGGTCAAGGACAAATATCAAAAGGCAGATCATGAACACTGTAAAAGGGATGAGATAGTCATTTGACAAGCAAGAATGGAAAGTGCATGGAATGGAAGGCATCGACCATAAAGCTTCATCAACAATTGACTTTCCTCCTTTCATAGCTGAGCAGCTGTTTGATAATTGTTTCTTTCATTTTGCTGTTTGAGGGAACCAAAAATGGTGTGGTGGGAGGCAGTTCTATCACCAGCCCTTCAGGTGCTGTTTGACAAGTTAGCTTCTGGGGACATCTTGAACCTCCTAAAGGGATGGAATATTGATGAGCTACTTCTTGACAAGTTCAAGATTGCTTATGTTACCAACACTGCTGTGGTTGATGATGCAGAGGAGAAGCAATACAACAACCTAGCTGTTGAAACATGGCTGGGCATGCTCAAACATGCTGTTTATGAAGCTGAGGACACTTTGGATGACTTGGCCACTGAAGCTCTTCGATTTAAATTAGAGTCTAATTCTCAAACCATCGCAGATCAGGTACGCAATTTGAAGTTTCCATCTTTCAATCCTTTCAGTGAACGCATGGAGTCTAAGATAGAGAAGCATATTGAAAAACTTGAATTCATTGCAAAACAAAAAGATGTTCTTGGTTTGAAAAGTGACCATGAAGGAACGTTTAGAATCATGACAAGAGTACCAACTACTCCACTGTTGATTGAGTCTCATGTTTATGGTAGGGATGATGATAAAGAGGCGATAATTAAATTGTTGGTGGCTGATGATGAAACAACTAGTAACAATGAATTTTGTGTGATTCCTATAGTGGGAATGGGCGGTCTTGGCAAGACCACTCTTGCTCAGATTGTCTACAATGACAAGAGAATGGATGATTATTTTGATGTAAAAGCATGGGCTTGCGTATCAGATGACTTCAATCTCATAAGCATAACAAAGGCGCTTCTTGAGTCAGCAACCAATAAAGCATGTGATACCATGAATTTGGAACTACTTCAGAGTAGTTTGAGAAAGAAATTGAGCAAAAAGAAATTTCTAATTGTATTGGATGACATATGGAATGAAAGCTATGACGACTGGAATGATCTTACGATTCCTTTGATGGTTGGAGATTGTGGTAGTAAAATTGTTGTAACAACACGCAACAAAGAGGTTTTATCTGTCATGATGAACACACTCCCCATTTATCAGCTGACGGAGATGTTGGAGGATGCCTGTTGGTCATTATTTCTGCGCCATGCATTTGGAAACAGAGATTCAAATGCGTATCTGAACCTGCATGCAATTGGCAGAAAAATAGTCAACAAGTGTAAAGGCTTGCCTTTGGCTGCAAAGACTATAGGTGGCCTATTGGGTTCTAAACTAGACACTGATTATTGGTATGAAATTCTGAATAGCAAGGTATGGGACTTGCCTTCTAAGAAAAATGCAATCCTTCCAGCTCTAAGATTGAGCTATCATCATCTCCCTACCAATTTGAAGAGGTGCTTTGCATGCTGTTCAATCTTTCCACAAGATTATGAATTTGATAGAAAGAGTTTAGTCTTGTTGTGGATGGCTGAAGGTTTTTTATAGCAAACAGACAATTTTAAGAGCATGGAAGAAGTGGGTAGTGAGTATTTTGATGTTTTACTGTAAAGGTCATTCTTCCAAGTATCCACTCAAAATAAATCTAAATATGTGATGCATGATCTAATTAATGATTCAGCTCAATTTGTGTCAAGGAATATATGCATAAGGTTCGAGGATAAGTTGGAGAAAAATAAGCAATGTGAGATCTCTGAAAAGGCGCACCACTTCTCTTACATTCGCAGTAAATATGATGTTGTAAAAAAATTTGAGTTGTTATATGAAGTGAAGTGGTTACGCACCTTCTTACCTTTTGCAAAACCATCTGGAGCTGAATTTTGCTACTTGAGTAAGAAAGTGCTGCATGAATTGTTGCCAAAATTAAGACGTTTACGAGTGTTATCTCTGAGTGGTTATTACATTACAGAACTTCCTGACTCAATTGGCAAGTTGAAGCACATTCGGTATCTTGATCTCTCTTGGACTGAAATCAACAGCCTTCCTCAATCTTTGAATACTCTATACAATTTGCAAACACTGATATTATGTGAATGTAAGCTTCTTATTCAGTTGCCTACAGACATTGGAAAACTAATTAATCTACGCCATCTTGATATCAGTGGAAGTGGAATAACAGAAATGCCATTAGGAATAAATAATTTGGTGAGCCTCCAGACGATGCCTGAGTTTGTGGTGGGTGCTACTGGATCAGGGATAGGGGAGTTGAGGAATCTGGCACATATTCAAGGTAGGCTTTGCATATCAAGGTTGGAGAATGTGGCAAATGCTTGGGATGCAAGAAGAGCCAATTTAAAAGATAAACAGGGTCTTAATGAATTTACGGTGGAGTGGAGCAATAATTTTGATGAATCGCGAAATGATGGTGTTGAATTTGACATTCTTGAGATGCTACAACCCCATCAGAAGCTCAAGGAACTTCTTGTCAAATTCTATGGTGGACTAAGATTTCCAAGTTGGATAGGGGATCCTTTGTTCTCTGTGCTGGTGTCTCTAAATTTAAGTGATTGCCAAAGATGTGTGTCCCTACCACCACTAGGTCAATTACCCTCTCTGAAAAAGCTCAACATCAAGGGAATGACTGGAATAAAGAGTCTGGGTGTTGAGTTCTACGGGCATGGTATTTCTTCTGGCATACCTTTTCCATCCCTGCAGTTTCTAAGCTTTGAGAATATGCCAGAATGGGAGGATTGGTCTTGTGTTGGAGGCAATGCAGATTTTGAAGGGTTCCCCATTCTCTCTGAGCTTTATATAGAGACATGTCCCAAGCTATTAAAGAAATTACCTGAATGTCTTCCTTGTCTGAAAAAACTAGTGATACATGAAAGCCAGCAGTTGACTTCTTCACTCCCAAGGCTTCCATTACTTCATGAATTAGATCTGAAGGGATGTGATCAGGCATTGCTCAGTGGTTTACTTGACTTTAGCCTACTTGCTTCCTTAAACATTCATAATATTCCAAATCTCATATGTCTACCTGATGGGCTGATACGGTGCTTAACAGAACTGGAGTTGTTAGTGATTGCAAATTGTTCTGAGCTCATGTATTTGACAGGGAGTGAGGTTGGGTTGCAACACTTAACTTCTCTTCGGCATCTTGAAGTTCAAAACTGTCCCCTGCTGGTTTTCCTGTCAAAGGAAGAGCATCAGCAGCTGCCAGGTAAGCTAGAATATTTGGAACTAGATTCTTGCCTTGGCTTGGAGAAACTCCCTTCTGCTTTGCATAACCTTATATCTCTTCGAGAACTGACAATCAAGGACTGCCCAAGAGTTGCATCATTTCCTGAGACTGCTTTGCCATTGAGATTGAGAGGTCTTGCAATCCGAGGATGTGGTTTGGAATCATTACCTGAATCAATGATTCATAGCAGCAATGCATCTCTTGAGTACTTGAACATCAGTGGGTGCTACCTTCTTACTTCATTTCCAAGAGGGGGTGAGCTTCTTCCCACCACGTTCAAGCAGCTGACTGTTGACCATTGTCCCAATTTAGAGTCCCTTCCCGCAGGGACGATGCATAGAAGTAACATGTCTCTTGAAGTAGAGGTTTTTGACTGTTCTTCAATCATGTCCTTTCCAAGAGGCCAGTTACCTACAACATTGAAGATACTGACTATTTGGAATTGCTCCAATCTAGAGTCACTAGCAGATTTGATGATGCAAACAATTTCTCTCGAATCATTTCGGATTGGGGACTGCATGAATCTTAAATCCTTACCCAACAACCTTCACAAGTTCAGATCTCTTGGTTATTTGGAAATTGATGGGTGCCCTGGTCTTGCTTCATTTCCTCAAGGAGGCCTTCCCACCAGCAGCCTCAAAACGGTTAATATCATCAATTGCGAGAATCTCAAGTCCCTACCGGAGCAGATGCAAAGCCTTACTTCTCTTCAAGAACTGCAATTATCTAATTGTCCCGGCATACTGTCCTTTCCAGATGGTGGTTTACCCACGAACCTTGTATCACTAGATATCAAGGATTGCAAGAATATGAGGTCCCTGTCAGAGTGGGGTTTGCATAGGTTCACCTGTCTCAGAAAATTCTCCGTTTATGGTGGATGTCCGGATCTTGCCTCTTTTCAAGAGTGGCTACTTCCTAGTACATTGACCACTCTTCATGTTGGAAGGCTCTCAAATCTAGATTCCCTATCCACTTGGTTGTGGAATCTCACATCTCTTGAAGAACTGAAGATCAAGGAGTGTCATAAGCTGCTTTCTTTGCCAGAGGAGGGGCTGCCCCCTATGCTCTCTTGTCTTGAGATCAGTGACTGTCCTTTGCTTCAACAACACTGCGAACAGAATTGGGCTAAGATTGACCATATTCCCTGCATAGTGATGTAGATGATGAGCTGAAGAGTTGAAGACTCTCTTTACTCTGAGAAAACAGCGAAATTTTTTTTCCAAATAATATTTTAACCAGGTAAGATTCTCCCTTCCAAATTCAACCTCTAATGTACATAAAAAAAAATTTAAAAAAAAAGTTTTAATGAGTATCACTTTTATCACTGTAATCCTTTTCTTCATCCAACTCATTCACTCACCCATCTGAATTGTTGGTTGGGCTTTCCACTGTTAGTTCAGTTAAGAATTTTAGGGGAAGGTTCTTGTGTCAGTCATGCAAACTTCATTCATTGTGAGCTTTATTAATTCTGCCTTCATATTATATTTGTTAATGCATTCTTAAACTGTACTTCCAACATTCTTGGACTGTACTTCCAACAATAATCTTTAGAAATGTGTGCAACAGAAAAAGCTTGATATGCCTTATTTTTATTCTGTAGCACTATGAGCATATACCCAGAAGACATCGTAAGTCCTTTACTTTGTAGTATTATGGCCCATTAGACAACAATGCTAAATCTCACTTTCTGTCTTGAGTTATAACTATTATTATTTCTATATCAGGGAATTTTTTGGTTCCATTCACTTTAGGCACCATAACATAAAGAAATAACAAAATTAAAAGCATTGTCTTGTGTAAAAGATTTGTCTTGTGTAAAAGTTGCAAGGTGTTTGGCTTTTGTGATTGTCAGGTGAAAAAAAATTATTAATGAAAAGATATATTTTCAAGTTAACGTGCATCAGAAAATGAATTTAGTTGTGGTTTCATTATATTTGAAGGGTTTCTTAAGAGGTTGCATGTGCATTACTCTTAATAGACTAGTTCTCAATTAGCATTACTCTTATCTGAGGACTTCATTGTTGTTTTGACTATGTCCATGGGCTAGTCTCCTGCTTTCGGCAAGGAATGTTGCCATTGATATTGATATTTTCAATTAGATGCATTTTAAATTTGAACATCTGATACACATACAAATAGCATGTCTTTTCTTTTTTGTTCTGTTTTAGTTTCTATCTGTTTCAATGTCATTATGGTTCTCAAAATCCTGACAACCTGCTGCCCGGGTAATTTTGTTTTATTATTTTTTCTGGTTTGGGTCCTAACCATGGACCTTAGGCACAATCTTAATTTAAATTGGAAAATGCTATACAAACTAACAAATCTAACCTACAGATGGGCAACTTGCTTGATTATATTTTTTCCATTTCAAGTTTACTCATTGCTGTAGGTGCTCATTGGATTGAACCAGAGACCTTCTCGGCTTGCACTATTGATGGAAATATCATAATCGGGGCTACTTATGAAGGGCAACCTGAATACATCCAGATTTTTGTGAAGGCACTTGGAGGCACCATAACTGGTTCTGATAAATGGATTCTATCTCTCTATGAGGTAAGTGATATTCTTCTTGTTTACGAAGAAAATGGCTTTAGGATATTCTTTACCTATATTCAAGATATATAAATAGTAATAGTGAAGGCAATTATTTTGGGGTTCTGCTTTGTTGTTGTTATCTATGAAATGGTTTTTTTGATATAATCTTCACCCTGCCACTTGGTTATTTTATGATGAGCTTGAGCTGAGACAATTCATCAAGAATTAGGATTAAGCCTTTCAGGCATCAGGTGACTTAAACACTAGAATTGCCAACAAAGAGTCATATTTCTGTGAACTATGGAAAATGCGTCCTTTGGGTCTATAACTTTGTGTACATAGAATTCTCTTTCTTAGCTTTTATGCGTCCCAAGCCCAGGTTTCATCTTCTAAGGTATTCTGCAATGCAGTTAATAAGCACAGTACCCACAGCCACTGAAATTTCTACAGCATATAATATACTTTGCAATGACAAATTCTCAGGATATTTTAAGTATTGAGATTGCCTTCTTATGAGCTTTGAGGGCATCATTAAATTCAATAAAGGAGCATCTCTACAGTGTCATTATGAGCATATAACCAACATTATTCTTCATGTGCCATGTGTTATCAGAAGCTGTCCAGAGTGGTCATTCACAACTATTTGGTCATGTTAAGAAGATGAAAAAAAACCAGTTCAGGAGTGTAATTGGTGCTTATTCCTACTGTATAATTATTCCATTAAATAGTGCTGATTGCTTTGTTAACACTTCACACATATTAATCATCGTAT